AGGAATTATAATTCCACATAGGCAGGGCTGTAAAACCGAGGCTCAGTGCTGCGTGGGAAACAGGATGCACCAACAAAAGCTGCACAGGCTGGTCGGGCAGGGGTTCGAGAGGATCATGACCTGTTGTTCGAGGCCGGGAGAGTGGGGGAGGAGAAGGCAGCTCTGGGTAGAGGAAACTGCAGGTGCTAAACTTGGAATCTTACCCAGGTAACACTGAGATATCTCACACAATAGAAGGGTGTGGTTTTTGGCTGCGTGTGAGTGGAGGGTAGGGGACTGTCATAGGATGCTAGAGGCAAAGAGTATAGAGATTATACACCATGGTGAGACATTTGATGTGAATTGTTAGGATTTTAAAGCAGGAACCCTGATATGGCTGATTTCCAAAGCTAATTCTTGTAACAGTGTGGGGTGTTCAGTGAAAGGTGGGTGAGTGGGCAAAACTAGAGGCATGGATATCGTTTGTTAGACTGTTGCAAGCCCAAATAAGAAATTATGAATCTGTATATGGCCCTGACATATTGGCTGTGAATATTCTGACAAGGAAACTTTTCTTGTGTTTTTTAAAAAAAATTTAAAAACTGTTGCTCTTAGTAATTATATTTGATTTCTGTATTCTAGATATGTTTTAAGACCAAGATGAGCAACTGGCATGTGTAACACAGTCCCTCAAGGATAATTAGCTGAAACTTCTAACATTTCCCTGAATTTGTTATGCTCTTAATTTTAACTGGAAATATTCTCATGACCATAGAAAAGTAATTGTAATGATATAGTCACCTTCCCAGCAACCTAAATTCTGGGCAATCCAAAGAATATAATGTTTTATTCATCGAGACATTTCATGTAAAACTGGCAAAGGAGGCATGGTGTGTAGTAGACCAAGCATTGAGCTGGGAACTGAAGTGTGGATTCTTGTAATAGGAGCAGCATTAATTGGCTCTGTGGTGGTAGATAAATCTTGACCTCACTATGGCTACTATTGTTTTAACTTCTTTATTTTCTGCAATTATTATTTTCTGTATCCAACGTAGATCCCCCTGGGCCTTCATGCAACCCCTTTTTGCAATACGACTCTTAATTTCTGTGACCTAAAAACTGCCAAACAGAATATGGAGTCCAAAGTAGGATCTCCCCTGAAATTTCTGTCCTCACAAGCCCAACCTGATCTCCATATTCACAGACTTCTTCCATTATTTTAGTCTCAGAGAATTTGCCCCAAAGCTAACCACCCTATCTGCTTTCAGTCATTCTTCTTTCTCTTCTTTTCAGCATTTGCGATCCGTCAATTATGAATTTACTTTTATTATCTTTGCGTCAATTAAGAGGCTAAATTATGATGCGGTAGCAAACAACCCCAGCCTATCACTAGTTTAGGACAAAAAGAATTTGTGTTAGCAATCTGTGCCCATTTTAGACCAGCTGGGGGCACTGTTCAAGTTGTCCTGGCTTTAAGCCCTGGAATGACAGAGCCGTCAACATGTGAAATACTCCCTGTCATCACAGGAGGGGAGCAGAAGGTGGCAAAGCCACATTGGTCCATAAAGCTGAAGCCTTGGAAAAAACATACGTCGCTTCTGCATACATTTACTAGAACTCAGAGAAAGTCACATAACAAAGAATCTCAAAAGGATTTTGTGCCCAGAAGGCAGAAAATTGGGATGTTTGGGAACAAGCTTGTAGCAGCATACCCTTGTTTCCTCCTTCCCTTTCGCTCACACACAAATCTCCTCAAACTTCTTCCTTATCAAACAAGCATAGGCCCCCACAAAACTCCCTGAGCCTTCCTTTTGGGGATTCTCCATTTCCAGTTTCTCACCCTCTATTTAATGCGCATCATACTACAAATATAAAGCCTATTACCCTACTTCAAATGCTTTAATTATTATATTCGTTTGCTTGGCCTGCCATAGCAAACCACCACAGACTTAGAGGCTTAAACAACAGAAATTAATTTTCTCACAGTTATTTGAGGCTAGAAGTCCAAGATCAAGATGTTGGCAGGTTTGATTTCTCCTGAGGTTCCTCCTTGTCTTGCAGAGGGCCCCCTTCTCATTGTGTCTTCACATGGCCTTTTCTCTGTGTACCTGTACCCTTGACACCTCTTTCTCTCCTTATTAGGACACCAGTCATATCAGAGTAGGCCCTTCCGTATGACCTCATTGAAGCTTAATTACCTCTTTAAAGGCCCCATCTCCAAATATAGTCACATTGAGAGTTAGGGCTTCAACATACAAATTTTAGGGGGACACAGTTTAGTCCATAACAATGTGGTCACCACATATAAAGGACATATTCAGTATTTTAGTTAACTGCTCATAATGGCAGTTGACACTATGGAGAACTCTCTAACTTCAGATGCCCTCATTTTTTTTTAGTTTGCACTGCTCTCTAACATTATAGTTTTTCTTCCTTTGCTCTTTCTGAGTCCCCTTTGCTTTTTCTGACTGCATATTATTTGCCTGAGAGATTTCATCTATTTTCATGACTTCAGTTACCACCTCTATAGATCATGAATCTCATATCACATGTCTAGTACACTGAGTTCCAAGGTCACATGCCCACATGCAAATGTATTCATGGTCTTGTACCAGTAACATCAGCGTCATCTGAGTGATTCCTTGAAACGTAGGGTCCCACCCCACATCTATTGAACCCAAATCTGCATTTTGGGGAGATCCCCAGATGTTACTTTTATTAAGTTTGAAAGTATCATTCTACTTGGTTTCTCTTTCTGACTGTACCAAAGAAATTTCAAATAGAATATGTTGAGAATAGAATTAATAAATTACTTTTCACTCATTTATTAATTCAATAACTATTTAATGAGTCTCCTATATGCCTGCACTGCTGCTTTAAGATCTATAGTGGTGAGCAAAACAAACAAACAAACAAATCCTGACTGCCTGAGTCTTTTACTCCAGAGAAGAGAGACAGATAAGAGAACGATAAAACTTAATAAATAAGTACATTACATACTCAAATACAAAGTTATATGTGCCATGGAAAGATGACAGTATTGAGCAGGGAAAGTATAGTGTGTCACATTGGGAAGGTGATACCTCCCTTCTTTATTTCTTATCTCAGTGAACACAACCTCCTTAGTCATTAGGAAGTATTGGGGGCAAGGGGAGAAAATTAGAAGTTATCTTAAAACTTTTACTTCACCTGTCAATTATAGATTCCTGATGTCTTTCCCACCTATCACTTTTCATGATACCCACTGGCAGGCTTTTTTTTCCTTTCACATCCTTGAATTTTCTTCCCTTGAACCTTGGTTGCAGCCCCCTAAATGACTTCACAGCTTTCTGCTTCCAAAATATTGCCATGATGATTAAGTCACATGCTTGTTGGAAAACTTAATGGCTCCCATTGCCTTCTAAATAAAACCAAAACATCTCATGATGAACCGTAAGGCTGATTATAATCTGGACTCTTCCTACCTTCTGCCATAATTCCCATAAACACATTATCTGCTGGTTAAACTAAACTGTGTCTGAGTCTACATCGGTTGGCTGTGTCCTGTAGGTGCCCAACTGAGGATCAAGCCTGAAACCTGGGTATGTGCCCTGACCAGGAATCAAACCTGTGACCTTTCTGTGCAGGGGACAATGCATAGAACACTAAAATGTTACCTTGTTTTGTAAATATTTCCTGATTCCTTCTCTGTCCTTCAAATGTGGCACTAGTAATCTCATAGTATTACTGTGGATTTTCCCCAGGATGTGCATTCTTAGAAGGCAGGAACTGTCTTATTTAGCTGTGAATTCCTAGGGCCAATGCAGGGCTCAATACTCAAGAATGTTTCATATCCTTTGACAAATGACTGATATCTAAGTTTTCCTTTTCCTAGCCCTCCCTTCTAACCCAGAAATTATTTCCTCTGAATCAATCTAGCAGCTTTTCATTTTTTTTCTAAAACATTTTATATAAAAAAAAAAATTCAAAACTAAAGTCTTTAGGACTTGGTCTTTTGAATTGCTATAACCAAGTTCTTGGAACCTGATAGCCCTGGGTTTAAAACTCAAAATTCTCAACTTTCTAAACTAAAAATCCAAACTGCTTTTGTGTTGAATTATTCCTTTCTGTACTTGATAGAAGAAGAGAGTAGAGTGAGAGGGGAAAAAAACTTAGTTAATATGCTAAATAGTATTCCTTACAATAACTTTTATTTTCAAGCTTCTGAAATATGTAGCATATCTGGTTTTTTTATATTCAGTAAAAACATAATACTTTATGTTCTTACACATCAAAGAGAAGGCCCAGATGGAAAAATCCTAAGTCTACTAAACTTTTAAACAGTAAGCAAATAATTGGCATGTTATAAGAATCTGACATTTCTATATGGAAAATGAAGTAATTAGTTATCACTGTGGTTTTGATGCCAGCAGCTAGTGAGAGTTTTTAGGGAAGCTAAGGGAGGTGTGTGTGTGTGTGTGTGTGTGTTCCATTCACAATTTCTTGGATCTGGAGTTATATAAGATTCATACCAAGTAAAAACTTTTATTCAAAGCAAAAATTTAAATACTAATGTTCTTTTCAAAATAAAATGTAGTATTGCCCTAGCCAGTTTGGCTCAGTGGTTAGAGCATTGGCCCTCGGACTGAGGGGTACCAGGTTCTATTCTGGTCAAGGACAGGTACCTCGGTTGCAGGGTTGATCCCTGACCCTGGGGCATGTGTAAGAGGCAACCAATTGATGTCTCTCTCACATTGATGTTTCTCTCTCTTTCCCTTCCACTCTCTCTGAAAAGCAATGAAAAAAATATCCTCAGGTGAGGATTAAAAAAAACAAGATTAAAAACAAAGCAAAAAAGCCCCCCCAAAACAAAAACATTGTATTTATCTTGTTAGAAAAGTATTGAAAATATATAAAAATAGGTAGAGAAAACAAAGAAGTTGCATCCTAAACATTTTATTTAACAAATCATGCCATTTATATTGGCATTTGGTAGGGGGTTTTGGTTTTAATCGTTTTCTTTGTCTTGTTTTTCCATTCAGAGAATTTATCAACAGCCTTCGGCTGCACAGGACATTTTATGGAGGCCTGGCCAATCAGCTCTGTGTTAATGACATAGCCGCTGCTGATGGACTGCCATGCTGGAATGGAGAAGATATAGTAAAAAGGTATTTTATGTGCAATGGTCTGTGAACACATAATGGCTACTTTCATCCTAGCTTTCTTTTTCTAGATCTTCAGTGGATTACTCCAGTTTAACTTTGCCATACAGGTTAGAGTATAAATTAATTCCTTCTCTTTAGTGTGTTAAAATTAAATGTGATCCTTTTGACATTTTAGAAATATAATAGCATTCTGTGGTGTTTTCAAAGTTCTCTCTTATTTTCTACCTATCTATGACTTACCCCCAAATTTTACTTTTTTCAGTCATGTATCACTTGCCTTCTATCTAATCTGTTATCAAATATCTTATTTTTTTAAATTTAACTTTATGAAGATTAGGAAGTGAGGGAATTTGGTGGAATGTGAATACCTATGCCAAGATTCATTGATATATGGATTTGTGAGTCAGCATTACTCATATGATTAGCCTACAAATGTGTCTGAGTATGTGTGTGTGTAAGAGTGTGTGTCTATGTAAGAGTGGGGGCACTTTCATGGATGTCTCTTTGAAGCATTGTTTATTCATGTGTTGTCAATTGTTCCTCAAACTCAGGAGTGAAATTTAACTTTTACCTTTTTTACCTCACTGTCTAGAATTTCTTTGACAGGTTATTTTCTTTTGCTTCTTATAACTGATTGTGCTCCCAAGTAATCCCCTGAGCTTGAGAAAGTCTAAATTTCTCCCTCTGTAATATATAACCATGGTCAATAGAATTGGCTGGGAATTAGTCCTTTGATTTTCCAATGCTGGTGATTATTATAGAATGTCAGCTTGTGTTGTGTTCAGATTTGGATGTTTAAGTGTATTTTATTTTTAGCAATGTGCAAAAAGAGCTTTCTGATTTACAAACATGCCTATTCCCTGTGAAGACAGGTGGTTTAGTTACCACAAGAGTGATGAGTTCATTTGAAATGTCATTTGGTAAATAAAATTGCTCTGATAAACAGTAGTGTGGCGAAGGCTGGGGTGGGGGTGGAGGGTGG